TGGATTACGTTTTTTCACAATAACGCGTGTACATCGGAGTCTTTCATCATTTCACGTAGAAGAATAGTAGAATAACATGATCGAGAAATGAATAGTTTTACTTCATGAAAGATAAAATCTCCTTCTGTTTTTATGCTTTACAAGTTTTTACAAAATTAAAGTTGAAATATCTTTTAAACTCATTCATTTTCAAATGTTAGTCTTTCAAACATGTTGATTTTGATAAATTAAAGGAATGATAAAGGAAAGATTTTCATTTGAAAAAATAATGCAATTGTGTAATTTACGTGAATTATGATCCTTAAAAAAATATGATGGTGAAGTTTATCTTGAACCATTCGTCTAACATTCTTTTTTTTTTTTAATTCAAAACACGTCTCATAAATTTTTTTAATACATCGAATATTATACAAAATATTCCAATTTGCAAATATTCCAATTAAAATCCCCTGTTATTAAAATCGCTAGAATTAAAGAAAAGTAATAAATCTGGAGAAAGTAATGAAACCCTGTAGAGTAAGTGAAGTATCGCTTAATTCGAGTCGTAAATAGGGAAATAACGACATCTAATTGTTCGATCAAGCTTTTGTAAAGAAAGCAATAACTCAGCTGTTGTATACAGCACGCGAATATCTGATCGGCAAAAAGTAAAATGGCAAAAAGATAAGAGCTTCAACGGAAAGAAAGATAAATAATGCCTTTATGACAGTTTTATATCTCTATCTTCTACATTTTTATGAAGAGATAAATAGGATAGAAAGAAAGAGAGAGCAATTCTGACAATAGAAAAATTTCATAACTCATAGCTTAGTTCTCATGAAATCTTTCCAGGAGAAAAAAGGACCGTCCCTGGTTTTTGTTCCTCCTTTTTCTTTCTCTGTCTTTTTACAATTATTTTCCCAGAAGTATAATTGAAGCAAACAACATGATAATGTGTAGGGTAAATACATGCGATGGATCGCAGTCACGCAAACCAGAAAAAAAAAAAATATGATCGCAAAGGGTTGCGACAGGTTTCAAAGGATCGTGGC